AGAAAAAATAGGTTTTAATTTAATAATTTCTGAAAGTTTCGCCTGATCAGGACAAACAGAGAGCACCCAGACATGTTCAGAAGGATACGGTCTCACATCTTGTTAGGGACTGTGAGTCACATCTCTTAACACAACAAACCATTTAACAAAAAATGCAAAAAAATCCAGACCATAATTATAACTGAAGCTGTCTTAAGCTGGTTGAATGTGATAACATTTAAAAGTATTGTTTATCCAATTAAAACAAAGAAAAAAATAGTAGTGCTTAAAAAACAAAAACAAAGTAGAACCATGAAAATGTTTAATTGAACTTTGAGTAATTTTAGAGACCCATTGAGCGTGGTTGGGGTTTGGGGTAAAAATGTGGGAGTGACTGCAGTCAAGCTAATACCAAGGAATTTCAGTGAAATGTGTCTAAAAAGCCTGATGAAACGGGGAAGTAGAAAACGTGCACAAAGCAAGACAAGACAACGTTTCGGCCGGTGGCCTTTCTCTAACAAGTAATGAACAACACAACGGTAACAGAGAAGCGAGAAACAAATAGCCAGTCTTTGTTACCGTTGTGTAGTTCAATAGTTGTTAGAGAAAGACCACCGGCCGAAACGTTGTTTTGTGCACATTTTTCTGCTTCCCTGTTTAATTAAGCTTTTTAGTCACATTTCCCTAGATGTCCTTGGGATTTGAAGGAATGGACCCACTGCTTTGAACAAGCATGTCGTAAAAGGCAACACGTTGCGTTTTTCTTTCGTAGTGGAGTATTACTGATTGTGAGGGTAGGAACACACAGTCTGCGTACCAGTATTCTATATATCTGTAAAACAGACGTGCAGATAAAACTGAAAAACTAAAATATTTTACAAGACAGTGACGGACCCTTAAACTAAAACTTTTACGATTCTAGACATTTCTGTTGAAGAATTCACATTACAAAGACAAACAATATTGCTAAAGGTTATTGCATGACATAACATGTGTCATTGAATATCATAATGTGAGTTCTTCTTCTTAAAGTCACACGGTATGGCGTTGGTGGTCATGAGTATTTACATCCTTCTGTCTGGTGAACTTTCAATCAACTCTGACACGGAATGACATTGACCCTTCTGCCGTGACGTCAGACTGTCCAGTATCTTCTCTTTCGGTCCCCTTCTGCCTCTCTTTCCCTCCAGCATTCCCACTGTCATGATAAACGTAGATTGTCTCTTTGTAATGTTGACAAGCAGTTCTCTTTACGAGATAGTTTACTTTAAGATATCTTCATTACTCTGTTTATGTGTCCATGCTAGTCTAATGATTCGTCTATTAGGTATTATTATTGCAGTTTCGCAAATGTGAGTAGGTAATACGTAAATATGTACTCAACAGGCACTTATCTATATAGAATCATATTAGGCATTTCAACATGCAGATTGCCTAACACGAATTAATAATTATAAGTGACGCAAATCCATGCGCTTTATACAGTAACACATAGACTAACACAGTTACTTGGACATGGATCGTTGGTACCACAGTAGAGAACATCAGTCTCTCGTTCATGTCGTGACACTGACGTGGGACCTGTCTACATCTAATGTGTTATCATTGCAGGTGATTATACTACCTCAGCATGCTTAACACAGAAAAAGTTATCACCAGCTTTCAGTTAACCAAGGGTTATAACACAGACACACACGTAATTTATGTTCGAGACGCATAAACGTAGGACTTACTAAATCACTAAACATTTAACAATAATTGCATTTATTGTTTCTTATACTGAAATCTCGTTGAGCATAAACATAAGTATCTTGATTGCATGCATCTGCTTTTGTTATGTTCATTACATCTAAATACAAATATATAATAAAATCCACACAGCATTGGCATTTACATGACAAACACATGGGAAATAAGAGCTGACAGTGAGTTCATGTATGATGTCTAGACTGTTCCCAAAGCGTTGAAAATTTCTCAAAATAAATGAAGTATCATTTGCAAAGAATCAGTTAGTGATTTTGACTACACATATCCGCAATCACCCTTTCTCCATTTAACAGAGACTTGGACAAGACTAGTATGGTTGTGTTGTAAAATTAACACTGCCTGGTTAAAAAAAAAAAAATCTTTAATTTTCTCTCATAAACGGGCAGATATTAGTCAAACGATGTTTCTGACTAATATTAAACAGTTCTATAGTGTTAATTGTTTCTCTCTTTGGCTCGACATTGTTGTTTTTTTTTATTTTTTATTATGGTCTCGCCCCTCACCCAAGCATGTTTCAGAGCTGAAATATGTGCGCTGAAATACTCAGTAAATTACACCTACATGTAACAGGGACGTAAGATGTTACTAATCTGTGATGGTGGTCATCAGGATATAAACACATTCTATGGACCCAGGAACTTGGGAAACGATACAATCTATGTCTGAAAATGATCAGTGGTGAAGATACTGAATGTGACAAAGTGTTCACTACTTCCTGCAGCAATTGTTGGTGTAAATAAACTTTTTTTTTTTTTTTCAGACTCGTTATCATTACATCGATTACAGTCTCAGAATAACAGTGATTTGTACATGACTTGTGTTGAGCTGAACTCTAATTTTTCGACCTGTAATGTGTTTCTGTTCTAACATGTGTTGTGCATCGCCATTTATTTCTCTGTTTTGTTTGTCGTAAAGACAAACACATTGAACTGCAAAAACATTAGGGCTAGTTAAACCCTGAATTAGAAGGAAGACAGTTTGCATTGCATAGAGATCTAAAATACTTTTTAAAACATATATAAGAATAGTAATACTAAATTAAGATCAACAATAATAATGAACACGAATCTTGAGAGAAGATCACAATTCCAACGACCGGGTGACAAGACGGCCATAGCAAACAGTGGCTTCATTAAAGCAACATCTATTGCTCAAAGATGTGTTCCAGTACACGTGAATTTGAACTCAGATTCGTCCACTCTACAGAACGTGTGCTACATCAAGCAGGTTACAATTGTAAAGTACATTTATTGTGTACTTGCCAAAAATAATATTACTGACGAGTCGCAGAAATCCCTTCGCGACAATATCATTTTGTTGTTACCGTTTGTATACATGTGAAACATAATTCTTTCATATATTATCTATAAAGTAACAAAGTAAGAAGAAACTCCACAGGGGAGCATGTACAGCAGGAGTCTACCAATCATCAGTAGAAGTAATCTCTCGTCGACAAATGTTTCGGCCCACGAGTTCCTAGACATTTTAAGAAAGTGGGCCCACCTGACAATCCCACACGTGCTCCATCCCTTTCTCAAGTAATAATCGAAGAGCTGATATGCTATCTGTACCAGGTGCAGGATGATTAAAAGTCCGTCTCTTTTTCCTCTTTAACGCTGAAGATCTCCCAGAACCTCTACACACTCCCCGTTGAACTTTTCACTGTTTGGATTCCTTATCTATCCTATTGCAAATCGTTCGCACTGCTCAGTTGATTCCATAGAGCCTTTAGCACATCTGCTTTATCATATTGTAGCTAGACGAGGCTTAGCTTTGAGACTAAAATCAGATCAAAAGCGACTCTTGTAAATGTTTCGGTCACACAAGATCCCACATGAAGAACTGAAAAAAAGGGGGCGAGAGAAGGTGTTCACTGCTAGCAAAAATGAAAAATATTTAAAATGGTTTGGACATGTTTGTAGATTGCTTCGTGACACTTTGGAAAGAACGGCTCTCTGATGGGCTGCAGCCGAAGGATGGAGACGTGGAAAAACGAAGAACAACCGGAAAAAGAAAGTAGAGTAGACGGGACAAGAAACAATGTCGGTTGGCACGTTGTGCCCTGGTTTACAGCTATGCTGCGGATTATTTATCTTTCGACCAAATATAACAGATTTCCGCAAACCCCAGATTTAGTCACCCTTAACGGCGTGCTTCAGTAGGCTAGTGGATCCATTATGTTTAAAAAATTCCATCTTTGTCAGCTGAAAATTAGGCTTTTCTACACTGTGTTTTCTCCGGCGACAAGCATATCAACTTTACATATCAGAAATACCCGACCAGTACAAAACCAAGTCGATAAACATATTACTTACATTAAAAGGTACATCGCTTTGTACCTGCCAAACAATTAAAATTTTCACCAACTAAAGTTGGTAATTAAGTCTTGTAATGTTAATGTATTATCCGTTTCATTCAACAGTTGCAGGGATTGTGCTAAGAAGCATAATCTTGAATAAACAAAACGAATTCCTACCATTCTTATTGCACTGGCATTTTCCATATTTAATCTATGTGCAATAATGCGATACACTTTACTTGCAGGGTAATAACGCATACAATTTATCAATACCGCTTACAGTTAGATTTTTAAAATATATTTGTTTTATGCTACTGTATTGACTTTATGATTTCCCTTTTGACCTAAATAGTTTTTGTATTGATTGTCCTTTATTAGTATAAATCGGGATATTCCAGCGAATGCGTGCATTGAACAGAAAAAGCATCCACCTCAGACTGTACTGCACCAGCAGAAGTTTTGCATGTAGCATCCACCTCCAACTGTACTGCACCAGCAGAAGATTTGTATGCAGCATCCACCTCCAACTGTACTGCACCAGCAGAAGATTTGTATGCAGCATCCACCTCCAACTGTACTGCACCAGCAGAAGATTTGTATGCAGCATCCACCTCCAACTGTACTGCACCAGCAGAAGATTTGTATGCAGTATGAATGCACTTTTAGGTTTAAAATTCCAAGTGACTAGTTGTGCTGATAGAAAGAACAGTTTTCATTTCAGAGAAGACATTGCATCATGTAAGGGCATGAAGATAAAGATCTAGTATTCCTATAAATGTCAGAAATGTTGGATTGCATGCCATAATGTTTGGTGACGTCGTCACGTGTAATAATTATTTTAAGAAAACAACAACATTGTTTTCAGTCTCAACCCTCTTCCGCGAAATGGGTAGAAAAGAGGGAAAATGGGGATCGGGGTGGGGAGGGGGGTGTTTGCTGGTGCTAAGCAGTTGAGATGTATACTCAATATCACTTGTCTATGATCTCGACTGGGCTCCAGGAGGTCGTGTCTATGATTACTGCCGGGCTCCAAGAGGTCGTGTCTATGATCACAGCCGGGCTCAAAGAGGTCGTGCCTATGATCACGGCCGTGCTCCAAGAGGTCGTGTCTATAGTCACGGCTTGGTTCCAGGAGGTCGTGTCTACAATCACAGCCGGGCTCCAAGAGGTCGTGTCTATAATCATGGATTGGTTCTTGGATGTCGTGTCTATAATCACGGCTGGGTTCCAGGAGGCCGTGTCTATGATCACAGCCGGGCTACATGAGGACATGTCTATAATCACGGTCGAGTCCAGGAGGTCGTGTCTATGATCTTTGAAATCACTTGCCAGAGGTAACACAGAAAACTAATATTAGAAAATCAAAAAATGCTAACAATATGACATGCGATCGACGTTCAACCACACAAGCACAGCACATTTTATGACACAAAGTGCCACCATTAGGATAAGAGTTCCCCTATGCACAAGTTCCAGAATTCCAGTTCAAATGTTAGGTGATATTAGGAGATGATGCAGACAATATCATGCAACTCGATAGCAACTGACCAGACCATTATACATTTACAGGCTGACATTTTTGATTAATTCAAAAATACATTTTATGGCAGGTAAATATATATTTACCCTTACAACAACAACAACAAACAAACAACAATAACAACAACAACAAATGTAAACTGTCACTGTATTATGCTATTTGTCCGAAACTTGCTATATCTTTGAAATAAAACTCAAAAGATCACATACACCATGGGTGTATCTAGACAGTCGACGTTTACACTTGTCTGGGTAGTTATCGCTGTCTGGATATTTTTTTTTTTTTTTTGGTTCATGCACTATGTTGGGAAATGAACGGACAGATAGAGTGGCTGGTGCTGCACCACTGTTTGGTGACGTGAGTTGACAGCTGCGAAATCAAAGCATTAGGAACATTCCAATAGACAATGTGTCTTTTTCAGCCTCCATTGGGGAATGTTGTAACTACCCATGACCTCTAAACTGATGCTTGCCATTGTGAACAGAGTATGCCTTTTATCACAGTTCGCAGCACGTTTTGTGAGTCTGTTACGAACACAATATTATGCGACTGATTCTTATTTTAGTGCAAAGCTTCTGTGACTGCCTCCACCTCCAGTCTCAAATTAAATATTGTGTCATATTAGCATGAAGTCAACTGGTGATCTAAGGACAGGAAATGTTACCGGACAATGATGATTACTTTAAACATCCTATTTAATCATAGGTAATTTAATCTTGCAAATAATTTAAAAGCGTTTGTATGTGTGAACGAGAGAGTACTGTAGGAGTGTGTATGGGTATGGATTCTCAGTTTTGTGAAAGCATACACCTGGTTGCGTGCAGATATACACGCCGAGAATCCAAACGTATCTAATCATCTTCATCCACAAACCGCTACCATCATGATCATGACATGTGAGACATATTACAGACTTGTCTTAAGGCAAATAGAGTTGACAAATGGGTTGATGCTGACAAGACTAGACCTTCTATCCACTTCCTCATAATGGTGAGGGCTGGTGACATGGGACAGATACTCCCGACCTCAGTGCTGACCTGTCATGTTGGATTCCACGAAGGAGAACGACGACCCCATAGACGTGAATGCAATCAAGCAATATGGAATTGCCCCTTACACTCTTTACCTCCCCACCCACTTTCCCCTCCCCTTCCCTACAACAAAGTTCTCGCTGCACCACGAGCTCAACCAGTAACACCCCGAACCCACCCACCACCTCCTGCAGTGACTCTTCTCACAGAGCACACGAGTCAAAGGGAACGTCAGGTATAAATGCATTGCAGTTCTCCGCCCCAAAACCACAATGATCTTCACTAACGAGCACTCGAGTTTCGTATATGAAAGATCCAGCCGCTTCGAGCCTGATCAGTTTACGACAAAGAGCACTTGAGTTCGGTTATCTGAGAGTCTGCTACTCATGTACACCAGAGCCCATCCACCAACCCAATCCCCCATAACCAGACTTCAGTATGACATATGACGGCTGGAATCATTTGGAGACTTCGCCTATCTTTTCATACACAGCAGTATGATATGCCTTACCAGCTCTTATTTCAGGAAGACAGTAATGAAACCGCTTTGGTCAAACGCGAAATTGTTTCACAAACTCGGCTCTATACAAACACAAATATTGATTTCAGATCTTTTTGGCAAGTAAAATATTCAAAATTTCAAAACTATAAATGGTGGTCCAAAAGACGTTCTATAAAGAGCTAGCTGATAAACGATATACGCTTGGCCAAATTAGGAGGAACATGGCCCAAGAGGAAAACCTTTTGATTAAACGAAACGGCGAAACGCAAAAGGACATCGCAAAGGATCGAGCGGTCGGAGTGAAAGGACGAAGGATTAAGCCAAGGAGATGGTGCAAATTTCAGGACATTCGCCATGAAAGTGGCGCAAATGAACCAGACTACGAATATAATCATTGCCGGGTAAGATGCTCTTTTCTACCATGATGTCAAACAACCCAGGTGTCTTCTATCTTGGTCTGCTTTTGTCTCTCTTATTCTCCTCTTATTGTCGCTTGTTCTCTAGTTATCTTCTTTTCACGATCTTCTTTTCAAAATAATATCCATTGGCTTCTTGCTATCACTTTTCTATAGAGACCGGGTGGATTCGAAGTAAATCGTTGGAGTCGCTGATAAAACCTCGTTGAAGGGAATCAGGTCAGCTTATGCGCACTAGGCGAAAAGCCTAAATAGCTTTCACCTGCGATTTCTAAGATGAATAGATGGCATTAAGTGGCAGGCCATGATCACAAACACTGAGGTATTTGAACAAGCAGGTATTACAACATGTTTTTCAATGTTCACTCTCAGAGGGCTCGGCTGGCTGGGTCACTCGTGGAGAATGAGGGATGCTAGAGTCCCTGAGGACATCCATTGTGGTGAATTACAGATGGTTAGAAGATGGTGAGGTAGAGATCTAAGTCGATATACAGATGTGTGCGAGCGGGACATGAATGATACATTATGTGTGGGAAGTATATATATATTATGTGTTTCTCTAAAGGGGATGGGGCAATCATGAAGGGAAAATATCTAAAGAAAAAACATTTTTGCTGATTGGCTGATAGTACTCTTGATAGTCAAACAGCCCTTGTCCAGAACCCAAGGAACAGGTCGAGTCCTGCTGCTGCACGAGACAGGAAGCAAACTTTAGGATTGACTCTCGTGAATAATATATTGTATAGCTGACTGCAGCGGCAGAATCGTTTCAAATAAACACGACTAGATCACCAACGCCTAATTATAGGATCTAGAGAATCATCGATTGAAAGCCCAGTTTATTTCCTTCAACTAATCAGTTCTCTTAACACAATATTCTGCTAATCTTTATGCAAGGCTTAAAAATGTCCAAAAGAAGGACGGAATCCGGTGGTTATGTAATTACAGAAAATCTCCCAGCCATGTGTGCTTTCATAGTCAATCCCTTTTTTCTCTCTCCTGGGTGCTGATGATTATGTGTTTTTATCAGGGCTGTACCGAATAGTGATTTTCACTATTCGGCCGAATACGAATAGTGCTACCAACTATTCGGCCGAATACGAATACAAATACTGTATCATCATCATCAGGTGCCTTGTCGACTGACGTGGGCGATTTTGCCTAGCCACAATATGTGATCTGCTGCAGCAAGTATTAGTTCGTGTGCTGACACACCTCTATGCCATGCAACAAAATTGTCAAGAATATGATCTTTCGTTGTCTTTCTTTATCTCTCCTTCCACAAATCTTTCTAGTGGTCACCACATGTTACATTTTCCCTCTTCTCATAACATGGCCTAAACATGATGACTGTCTCCTTCTGATGTCTGTGATTAGTTGTCTTCGGGCTCCCGCCATTTTCAAAACCTATTGGTTGTTTTTTTTGTTTTTTGTTCAAGTTATTTTGAGCATTGTTCTGTAAAACTACCTCTCTGAAGCCTCAAGAAATTGTTTGGCCTGCCTACCGATTGTCCAGGACTTACAACCATATGTTAAAACTGGAAAAATAGGAGAAAAATAGTAGCAAGCAAGAATGATGTTTCTAACCTTCAAGGGCAAAGATATATTGCATAAGATGTTCTTCATTTGATAAAATGCAGTTATTGCCTGTCGCCTGTGCTCTTTTCGACAGTGGTGAAGAAGGTATCTCAAGTATCTTTATGTCTTCTTTAATAATGTTACAATGTATAGCCGACTTTTCTTGATTTTCGCCCCGGCACCCCTGGCATACGCACCAAGTTTGAGAACCTTTGCTGTAATGCCTCGGTCGAGTCAGCAGGCAAGACCTTGCCAGCTGCTGTACCACGCAACCGGGTCGCAGTTTTTCCGCTACTACAAACTTAGGCAACAGCAACTATTGTGTTAATGAGAGAATTATTTCAGTCCATCACAGTGTATGCAGAAATTAGTGTAAGGTAACCACTATTCGTGTTCAGCCCGACCGCAACTATTCGGCCGAATACCGAATAGTCATTCGGTCCACTATTCTTCCCCGAAGCGAATACGAAGCGAATATTCGGTAGAGGCCTAGTTTTTATAGTTTTTATATGCCTGTGCACCCTTTCTTGGAAAATGTACCTCCTCCGACACCAGGACTTAACTTGGTCAAAATGCCTCAGCTTTCGGGATTGAATGCTGTTTATGAGCCAGTTCTCGATCTTCAGGTTATGCAGGATTCGGTAATTTTTTTTTTTTCGTGGTCCATAGTATTCTAAAAATGTTACTGTAACATTCCAGTTTAAAAGCTCCGATGTTTGAGTTCGTGTTTCCTATCTATAAGACGAGACAGTAAATATTCACGATCTCACAATTTTTACTTCTACTTGCTGGCGTGTTCTGTGCCAAAGGTTCTTCATGATGTTCAGTTCACAAGCGAGGTGGCCAAGAGGTGACAGCGACAGAACTAGTGGCATAACATCATACAATGGAAGAAGTGAATTCTAAGAGAGCTCACGATTAGCAATTGTTGAATGCTGGTTTTACTAGACAATTTTATTTTCATCAGCTACCTGTAGCTTCCTTAATTCTCAGTGCTTGTATAATTGTCAAAATAATTGAAAATAGGTTCGTTGTAGCATTTCAATTACTGAATCATGCCCCAGGCTGCTGGAACAATGACACTGTTGTCATAACGCCTCAGTCTCACCCTTCGGCCAAATTAATATAAAATCAAAATACAATAATTACACACTGAAATACCTACATGATAGATATATTTATTACATTGTAATTATAAGCGACCATATAAGTTTACGTGTAAACCAGTTTTCGTATTATAAGCAC